TGAAATAACCCTGTGCCTAACAGACAACAGCCAGCGTGTCTCAAGTAGGCACACAGTGCATCAATACAGAAGAGGACCTATTACCACTGTAATAGAAAAATAAGAGAATGGGAGGGTGGGCTGACCAGGGAAAGTGAAAGGGCTGCTTAACAGGAACACGGGCCCAGATGGCATCGGTGACCATAAACTTACAGTGGCACCATCTACAGGGTGTGTGACTTTCCCAGAAATGTTCAACAGCTGGGGAATTGAAGTAGAGAAAGTAAACAGTTGAGTTCATCCAAGGCTGGGCTTTGCCCAGGAGGGTGCACTAAAAGGACAAAGCGGCAAGGAGGTTACGAATATTGGCAAGAGGAAGGAAACTCGGGGGCCCAAGGAGGTGGAGAAGGAAGCGGGCAGTGAGGAGGCTGTGACAATTTCTGCTGAAAGGTTTGAGCCTGTCCCTTGATTTCTGTTGACCAGGGCACATGGTTATTGCTATCTCCTGGAGGAACAGATGTTACCAGATGTAGCATGCTAATGAGCTGTGAGCTGATGGGCTCCCCCAGCTGATCTTCCTCCTCTAAATTGGTCCTGACTGGTCCCAGCTGGGTAATTCAGCAATTTGTGCCCAGTGTTGCCACAACTGTCAGAGCATGCTCTGGGGACATATGCGACCCTATGAAAGGATGTCAATGCCAACCACATGTTTGGTGTGTTGGTTCACCCTCTAGGCCAGCCTGCTGATCTGTGTGTTATTTTTAAATGCCGTATGGGCCAACCCTGTTTATTTGGATTTTATTACTGTGAATCTTCTAAAGTTATAGATTTTCTCTTAGCTACCATATTTCAAATAAAAAATGTGGATATTATAAATATTATTAATATTATTATTAGATACCTCTATTGATTCTACTAATGCTATTAGTAGTCAACTCGGAACTCCAAGTTATTAGAATTCCTTTGGTTTTTTATTTATTTTTATTTTTTATTTTTTTATTGTGAAACAAACATTTTTTAAAAATTAGTTTCAGCCATACAACACAGTGCAATAGTTATACTTTTTACCCCTCAAAGTGACAACCCCCTTCCCCCAATCTGCCGCCCCACTCCCCCCCATATCGTACATATCTATTACAATTCTCTTGACTCCACTCCCACACTATACTCCACATCCTGTGACTATATATATATTCAATTATAGTTGACATACAATATTATACATCAGCTTAAAAAAAAGAATTGCTTTGCTATCTTAAGATGCAAAACATGGAAATTAAAAAAAGAGAGAGACTTTTTAGTACTATACTTAAAATCTTTCTAGTACAAACTGGCTAAAACTAAGAAGAAATACCAAACATTATCAAGAGCAATGGGGGCTCTCATACCCTACCGGTGAGAATATAGATTAGTACTTGGGAAACAGTTTGGCATTTTCCATTAAAGTTGAAGATATGTATATTTATTATCAAGCAATTCCATTCCTAGGTATATGTCCAACAGGAATAGGTAAAGATCTAGTTAGCACTATTATTCATGATGGCCTAATACCAAAGACAATTCAGTTGTCCATCAACATTAAAATGGATGGATATCCATATAATGGAATACTATACAACAGTGAAAATTATAAGCTACAGCTATAGGCAATGACATAGATGAATTTTACAAACATAATGCTGAGTGGAAGAAGCCAACATAAAAAAATATGTACTGTACGATATGTTTTTTCATGGTTCAAAACTAGGGAAATGGACTGTAGTATGTAAGAAAGCAGTCTTCAGGGGTTAAAGTATGAAGAAAGCACAGAGGGGAAACCCATAACTGTCAGGACAGTTATCTTTAGGCTCACCCCCAGCATTGGTGGGGCTTAAATGGAGAACTTCATATCACGGGCCTAAATATTCAAAAGTTGTAAATTAAACCAACAAGTTAATAAAAGATGTTTTATCCTCCTACCTTGACAAATATACCTTCATGGCAGCCTGGAAAGTTAGATTGGACAATAGAATTCTTGGACTGCTTAGAGCTTCTCGCTGGAACATGTGACACAAGAAGAGCTGGCCCCAGGGCCGGCCAAGTGGTGCGATGGTTAAGAGCTGGCTTGGGACGCCAGAGGGCCCCAGTTCGGATCCCACATATGAGGGCCAGTGACACTGCCCTCTACAGCTAAGATGCTGAACAACAGCTCAACCTGGAGCTGGGCTGCCGTGAGTCGCCGGCAGTGGGTTGCCATGGGCTACCGTGTGTAGCCAGCAGCCAGCGTGAGTGGCCAGGAGCCGCCGTGAGCAGCTGTCCAGAAGCCGGCGACTGATCTGCCTCACCTGGGAAGAGCGCAATGATGGTGCCAACTTGGGCCAGTGAAGCAACGTCCTCCACAACTAGACTGAAGAACAAAAGAAAAAAGGATAGCAACTTGTCTGTTCCCCTTCCCCCAATTCCCCAGAGCTGTTCCCCTCCCCCAATTCCCCAATAAAAAATTAAAAAAAAAAAAAAAAGAACTGGCCGCAGACCCCGGGACCATCTATCTTCTGCTCCATCCCATACTTCAAGGGTCTTTGTGTTCATGTGTGTACCCTCCTTAGTCCTAAAGTCTATCCGTCATCCACAGCCTCCTACAAATATCTGCCCCTAGGTGACTCCTCAGGAAGGTAGACCTGAGGCAGAGTCCTGGGAAGACCTGGGAGTGGACATAAACTCATTTGCCTGAGGAAACGAAATATCCCTATACTTGGCACATGGTTTACAAAAGGAGTCGTGGGTCCATGATGGACATGGCCTCTTGGCCCCACAGATTCCTGTCCCCTTGGAAAGGGACAGAGCTGGATGAGAGTCAGGAATTCAAAACACAAGGCCCAACACAAGGTTCCCTATGTGGAACTTAGGGCAGTACTGCCTTTAAAGGAAAGAAAATGGTTGGTTTTATGGGAAAGACACCCAGAAAACTTCTGATGTTCTGGTGGTATTCTATGGCTTGGCCTGGGTAGCAGTTACATTTATAACAATTTACTAAGCTCTGTATTTATTTTATACAGTTTTCTCTAGGTTGTTATATTTCACAATAAAGAATTCATGAGATATCTCTCGATAGATAGAGATAGATAGATATAGATATAGCTATAGATATATGTAGTGCCAAAAAAATGTACACGCATTTTAAGAAAGGAAAACTGTATACCCATAACAAGAGATGAACACAAGTCACATTTGACTTCTGCAATTAGAAGAGGTGTTCAAAGTGGTGACCATCAGAGTCCAGAGAACAGCTTGGGCAACGTGGACCAAAGTGTCCACTTACTGTATTTGCCAGCGTATAAGACGACTGGGCGTATAAGATGACCCCCTAATATTTCCACTCAAAATACAGAGTTTGTTATATGGGCAGTCTATCTGAAGTGTACCTGGCGTATAAGACGACCCCCCACTTGGAGGCATATTTTTCAGGGCCAAGAAATCGTCTTATACACCGGCAAATACGGTATATACAGTTTTTTGGCATTCCCAGTATATTTATAGAGTTCCTAGTGCTGTAGTTTATGGGATCTCACAGGCAAATCCTCTCTGACTGGGTGCCTTTAAGCTCAGACATCTTGGGCAGTTAAAATGCCTCCTCAAGGTGTGAATCCCTAAGGGGAAATGGACAGAATGCTAGAAACTCAATAGCTCTCACTACTGGTCTTCTCCACCATCTGAGGTCAAGATTCTTGGGTGACCATGGATGAGTTCAGACAGAGCAAATGAGTCATAAGCCCATGCCCTCTTGCCTAGCCACTGCAAGTGCCTCAGAGGAAAATTCCTTTCCCTCCCTCTTAACCACGATTATAAATACTGTGTTTATCTAACCAAAATTATAGGAGGCTGTTCTCATTCTTGTAGAAGTGAAAAGACACGAACTCCCAATTATCTTTTGTTTGGAAAGCAGTTCTAGGAAGACTTCTCCTCCCCATAAAGGCAGCCAGATCAGTCCATTACACCATTTGCTGAACTTCTACTATATGTCAGACACAATCCTTATTTTTCTGCTCCACATCCATTTAATTGTGGGTTTTTTTTCATTCTTGATGGGAAAAACACTTTCCTTATACAAATATTCAGATTCCTGGTCCTCAAAAAAATTTCTGTGTGCCCCACATGGTTTACGTATCAAGGTTTTTCAAATATGGTCCATGAAGAAAGACACACACACACACTCACACACATCATCATCATCATCATCATCCCAAAACTGAACCTTATGGCTGCAAGATGATGAAAGGGAAGTGAAAAACTGGACAATATTAACCAACCAAAAGCTCAGCCAGTTTTATTCCCCAAAAATCAAATTGTGGGGTTTGCATCTGAGCTATTTATAAGCCACATTGCCAAAACACCATTTTCCTCATATTCAGGAAACAAGAAAAGCTTATGGCTCCAGCAACCTTCACAAGCTGCTGATGAGAGGTAGCATCAGGCATGTTTGGTGGCTTCAGAATGATACAAGTAGCAACATATTAGATTAGTTTAAAGGGAAATAATGAGGCAGTGGGGTGGAGGGGAAAAACAAGTTAAATCAACCACAGGACTAAAGTTGTGGATTATAGACAATGAAGGATCACTCACTTCTACATTTCTGCTCCAATAAGAAACACTTGGCAAACATCACTCAAGACTCCTCCCAAAGTTTACGTTCTCCCTGTATCTGTGCCTTCACCAGACCCACTTCATATTCTACCAGAGTACCTGTGACATTTTATGGCACTGTATTTTTTGGTTCCCCCTATTAGATGGCGGTTCCTTGAGGACAGGTTCATATTTTGTACGTCTTTGAAGTTCCAGCTAATGTGTATTAAGAGGTCCATAATTGCTTTCTTTGATTGCATTGATGAATGAATGAATGAATGGATGAATGAATGATGGACTCCATTCATGAAGCTGTGGATTTGGCTTTTCCAACTGCGATGATGCAATCCTTAAGTGATGAAAAGTGCCTCAGCCTTCCCAAGGGTTTACCCACTCTTCATGATTTTAACTTCTCTTTGCAGGTTCAGGAAGCTGTGAATTCCATAATGTCACACGCGGGCATGAGAGCATCGTGTATTCTTTAAAGTAGAGTTATGAAAAGGAAGAAACTGGTCAGCAGACTAAAACATTGGAATTGACCTTTGCAAGATCCAAAGCTCCAGCATTCCTTGGCTTAACGGAGGAACCGCCTGGGAAAATGTGGGCAAGGGTGAGTAGTGATGGGAAAAACATACATCCTTTTTGTCCGGTTCAATTCAGACTGATTCCATTGAAACGATAATACAAATGGCATTCCATTCTCACCCAGGATTGCAAGGAATATTTGAAATTAAAAGATTGATTTTAGACCTCCACGTTTTGCTCTGTTAGGTGAGTCTTTTCATATGGGTACACTGATGCCCACGGAAAATCCTCTTCCATTCAGAAATCTCTGGGGAAGCAGTCTTCCGGGTTACAGCTGGAATACTCAGTATAACCAATGCCCAAGCAAGTCTGGAAGTTACACTCACTGAACTATTCAGAGGCTGAGTACCTCAGTTACGGATTAGCCAGTTCTCCAGTGCTTCTTCCCTGTCTGCCAGTTACCGTCAAACCATTTCACTTCCATTCAGCCATCCCACAAGAAAACCAACTCGGCTTAGCGTGGTGGTTAGGGTTAAAATGGTCAACTCTCCTACCTGACTAAGGCTCCCTAAAGGTTTTGTGGAAATTAAGTAGAAAACTGGTATGTAATTGCACCTATTAATTGACTTTTAAGGGAAGCAGGCAGCATTGTATGGTGTGGTGGCATTGGGGTCAGGCAGACCTGGCTTTATGTCCTAACTCCTACACTTATCAGTAGAGTACCCTTAAGCCAGTTACTTGACCCTTCTGAATCTCCGTTTCCAAATTTGCAAAATGGCGATAGGAGGATTATCTTGAAATTGAAATGGGAAAGTGCACATAAAGTACCATGTGCTCAAAAGAAAAAAAGGTGAATTCCTTTATGTGCTGACATCATTAATTTGTTATCTGCATCACATGGAAAAGTAACCATAAGCACAAATAAGAAAGCACTGGGCCAGGTCCCAATTCCAAAGAGGGCTGGACCTCATTTGCAAGGACATTGCTGTAAGTTAAGTAAAATGACAAAAGTTTTCTTTACACATTTTGATAAGTATTAAAAGAATTTCTGTGGAAGTCTTTAAAAATCATTTCGATTGTCATATCACTGTAATGTTTTAAAGTGAAGTAATGACCTCTTAAAAATCCCCCTAGTCCTAAAATTCTATGACAAAAATCTGTCACAGAATTGGGCACCTCAGAGGCTTCAACCAAACCAAATTATGAATCTGAAGTGGAACAAATTACATTTATTTGTGATTTCTTAAGTCATTTGATGTGAATATTAATTTCTTAATGAAGAATGAAATGAAAACCATGTCTTCTCATTTTTTAATACCAACTCAGCCAGTTTTATTAAATGAAAATAAAAATAGGACAAATGACACAGAGAGAGAGAGAGAGAGAGAGAGAGAGAGAGAGAGAGAGAGAGAGATAACATTCTATAAAGGAAGCCAGTATTTCATTCCATATAAGTCCCTGCAATGAACATTAGTACTGTGTTATTTCAAACGCATGTTGATTCTCACCTTTTGGGTTCTAGACCTGGAAAACAGACAATTCTACTGCCTGAAATCAATTTGCTTTAAAATTATCTATATTCAGAGTCCAAGTGTTCTTTGAGGTCATTAATTCAATTCTACCACTTCTGGGTTTGTTTGTTTTTTTCATCATTAAACTTTATTTCAACATTCTACACACACACACACACACACACACACACACACACACACACACACACACAAACACACACAAAAACACTTACATGTAACTTCATGTTAGACTAAGTATTAGAATGTAAATATTTGGAAAGTATTAGTATCACCTAGTAAAAAGGAGTATTTTTTCCTTGTCGTTAACGCTTCCTAAGGATATATTCCTGCTACTGTTTTGGGGGATGTGTGCCGGTTAAAAATATGGACCTGAATTTACACTGTCTGATTTGAACCTCAGCACAGCCACTAACAAGTGGTATGACCTTGAACAAGCTATTTAACCTCTCTGTGCCTCAGTTTCTTTACCTATAAAATAGGGATGAGAGTGTAAATTGTTTAGAGTTATGTTTTGGCACAGACTCATTGAGCATAAGCCTCAGTAGAGGATTCCAGTGAAACCTGGAGTTGTACAGCACATAAAAAGTGAAGTCTGTACAGCTAAAAGAAATTCCTAAAGGGAGAAGTGGAACATGAGGAAAGACCTGGTAGGTAACAGACTGGGCCTATGGGAATCTAGCTTGGGCGAGGCTTGGTTGCCCTCCTGAGCTCCGTGATGCTGAGATTTTTCTGGTTCCAGAAGCAACAATGAATACAGTATGAGGGCATGGCCAATAAAATCCTTTAAAGAAACTTATGCTGAACTTATAAATACTCTTAAAAGTAAGCCCCTTACAAAAAAAAAATACTCAGCAAATAACAGCAAGCCCTGAGGTCATTATGCAAATGTCAATGAGAAGAAGGTAGAGAGTACACTCACACCTGAGGGCTTCAGGGAAGCCAGGCACCAGCCCCAGGCAGCCATATTGTGCCTTTCGGAAGGAATCAATGGTGTGGAGGCAGCTAGTTCCACAGCCAGACCAACTGTACTCATGCTTCTCAGTGAGTTGACCTAGGTAGCTTGTTAATTGTCATAGTGTGTGTGTGTGTGTGTGTGTGTGTGTGTCGGGGGGGTATTTACACCACAGCAATCAGCAAAAACTACACATGGGACTGCTTGGTTTTGTTTCATTTTCAGAGAGCTAGTAGTTAAACATTGCCCAATGCACTGCTGGGGATGAAAACAGGGCTGGCTGAGAAACATGGAAAAACTGAAAGAAAAATCTTTTAAACTGTAGATTTTTGGGGAGGGGGGCACATTCCTCACTTTTCCCCTTTATACTAAGGCAGGAAGCTGGCAGTTGGACATGGTCTGTTCTGGTTCATCTAAAACCAGACTGAACTATTGCTTCACAGGGGACCAAAAAGTGTTGACTGACAGAATTTGCAAATTTTGTCCTTCTTTCCCATCAAATACAAGTCCACTGCAGGTCTAAAATAGCTGTTACAGTGTGTATTTATATCTGCCATAGGTCTGTGATAAAGTCCTAAAAAGGGAGATGCAATAAAGTGGAATAATTCACATACTCTTTTTTTTTTTACCCCTTTAAAAATGTGATTATTTTGACATATTTTAGGGAATATGAAAACTCTTAACTACTGAAAATTATCATCTTACCTCCTTACATCTAAATGACAAATTAACACATTCAGATTTCTAGATTGTTCTGTGAAGGTAAAGATGAAAGAATAGGGATTGAAATGAAGAAGTAGCTCTAAATCTGCCTTTATTGGTTTGCTTGGGCTGCTGTAACAAAGTGCCACAGATTGGGTGACTAAACACAGAAATTAATTTCCTTACAGTTCTGGAGGCTGAAAGTCCAAGACCAAGGTGTCACAGGGTTGGTTCATTCTGAGATCTCTCCCCTTGGCTTGCAGATGACCACCTTCTCCCTGCATCATATGGTCTTTCCTCTGTGTCTTTCCTCCGTGTGTCTGTGTCCTAATCTCCTCTTCTTATAAGGACACTAGTCATATCATACCGGATTAGGATCCACTCTAATGATCTTGTTTAACCTCAGTTACCTCTTAAAAGAACTTATCTCCAAGTATCATCACATTCTGAGATACCTGGGAGTTAGGACTTCAACATATGAATTTGGGAGGGGGGACACAGTCAACTAATAACACTGCCCAAACTGAAGCATAATTTATCCACAAGAAAAATTCAATTTAACAACATCACAGTTTGAGTTCCCAGAGAAGTAAACTCAGGAGAGATAGAGATTGGGATGCAGGAGGTTTATGAGGAGCTCTCTGTGAAACACCTACAAGCAGCGGAGGATGCAGGATAAGGCAGAAGAAGAGGCAGACTGCAGTATGTTTATAATAAAGGCCCTGGCTAACAGCCTGGGCCCTCTCATGCCGGGGTGGGCTGTCAGAGCTGTCTAGAGCTGAAGCAAGGGGCTGGGCCTTTCTACCCCTGCCTGGACCAGACTTAGGATGTGGGCTGTCCCACAGAGGATGCATGGTGTGCATTATGAGGCTCTCTTCAGCTGAGGACAGTCTCAGGAGGGGAACCAGTTGAGAGCTGCCAGTAGCCAAGTTTTCAGGAGCTGACAGAATAATTGATCAATCTTATGTAGGGTCTCTGGTCAGTGTACTGCAGTGTCCACAACAGAAGTTCCCCAAGTAAATGGAAGAACTTACTATTATCTTCTTAAGAAATTTCTCATCATATCTCTCAGTAGATTAAACAGTGAACCATTATGAACCCTAAAACATTTGCCCCAATGCTGGACACATGGAAAATGCCCAGCAGAACGGTCAGCAAGTGTGGCTTAGTAGGAAAAGTGTGCTCTTGGGAGCTAAAGAGATCTGGTTCAAATCTCTGCCCTGTTATTTCTTAATATTTCATACCCTCTCTGAACCTCAAATTTCTCCTCTACAAAATGAGGATAATAATACCAACTTTGTTGGACTGTTGCAAGATTTAAACAAAAAATATATATTCAGAGTGTTTAGTACAATACTGGACACACAAAAAAAGGCATCCAAAAAGAATTAGTTCCCTTCCCTTTCTTTCCACAAATAGTTAATTGGTGATAGCCAACAAATTACAACCCAGCTTGATCTCCTAACTTGGAGAATATGTCTCAATTCTCATGTGATCAGAATCACCTGTAAATATTGTTAAACGAGAGCTTCCTGGACCCTACTCACAGTGACTCTAATTCAGGGCATCTAGGGTGAAGACCAAGAATGCACAATTTTAGCAAGCTCAGTGGTGTTTCTGAGCCTCGGAAAACCTTAAAGCTCCTGCTCTGGGCTGTGGATATGATTTCAGTTAGAATGGGAGTCCAGTGCTTAGAAGGTGTCAGAGATCATTTCTATAGCCCTGCATTGTCCTTAGTTCTGTTGATGTGGATATACCTGTCACATCACAAAGACCTTCCCCCCTCACATAAATGCTGTGTATTCCAAAACTAAAATGTGCATAAATTATGCATAAGAATCAAACCAATTCTCCTTTTCAAGATGTAGTTTTATTGAGGCATAAATCACAAGTAGAGGG